GCCCCTCCCAGCGGCCCACCCCAGCCCCGGTGCCGCAGCCGGGACTCTGCATCCTCAGCGTCTCTCGAGCAAAGCACCCCATGGCCTGGCACGGCGCGGTTTGGCTGCCAGATGCTTCTGCATCCTCTTCAGGAAAAATAAACGTCTTTACTTAGCCTCATGGATGCTGTCTCTCTACACACCAGCCCTGAATACCACCAGCCCAGGCGAGGAAGGCACATCCCGGCGGGACCCGGAGCCACCGGCTTCGCCCTAGAGCGGTGAAGCCTCCTGGGTGCACAAGAGTTCAGTCTCCTCGCTGGAGTAGACGGTGGTGTCCATGTCGTCCGAGTGGTACCCGGACTGGTACCCGCTCGTCTGGTTGGAGGCTTCGGACATGACGGACTCGTTGCTCTTGCTGGGCACCAGGGTGCTGTGGAAAAGAAGCAGGAACAGGACTGAGAGAGCTGTGGAGACCATCTTCTGGAGGGCAGGTGGGCAATTTCTGCTGGCAGCTACTTTCCATCACGGCAACAACCAATACAAAACTGGCAAAACATAGCAAAACCAGCTTCAAGCCTTTTTAAACCGGTGTTTGATTATAAGGAGAAACCTCTTTATACACCCTAGCTTCACTAGTGCAGGAAAAATAGATTTAATTTTATAACGGTACAAGGAGTTAGATTGCGACTGCGGATGAAACGGAGAGAAAACTTTGAGAGGCTTCACACATTTCAGCCATGGTGCAATCATCACAACTGCCATACACCTTTGCTCTCACTGAAGTTGTCCTGGAAAAAATCATTCCTGAGCAGCTCTCAGAGAGCATATGTGAGGTTTCAGCTCCATGAAGGCCACTGTGCTTCCTGTGAACCGCACAATGAAACCCCTCTACAATGCTCTGAAAATACACCCAGGTACATCCTGAAAACTCAAGAGTCAGCTTGATAAAAAGAAAGAAAGATAAAGGAAAAAAAAAGAGCTCTTTGTCACTGCGGATAGGCCCTCACAAATGCACTCAATTGCGTGCACCGGCTCAGCTCCTTCGAGGGGTGGCTGATACGACAAGGTGGTCCTTTCTGCGGCTGGTGCTTCCAGCAGCTGCATTACCTCTCCTCTCCTGGTATCAAATGCCAGGCGTTCCGTGCACAATTTTTCTTTGTGTTTTTAAAAATACAGTAAGAAAAGATGTTGTCTTCTAAAAAAATTTACAAACCAATCGGTCGTCTGACATACTGCAAGCAAAAGGTCATACTCAATCCTACATGCAGCCTGAGCCTTACCTAAAGGGTATTTTCACTTGTTTATCGCTCTCTTCCAACGTCTTCAGCTCTTCAGATGCAAGAACCATCCCACTGTCTGTCTGGTTTTCCTGCAAAAGTGTTAGAAATGCATTCAATGGAAAGGGATAAAAAATCCCCCAAACCACGACAAAAGACACCAACAGAAGGAAAAGACACCAAAGCAACAGACAAACTCACCTCCTGAACAACTTTTACAGTGGTTACCAATGGGACATCTTCAAATGTTTTCACACTCACAGGGCGGCTTTTTCTTTTGCTACCTTGTCGGTACTGACTGAAAAGAAAAGAAGCAAACAAAAGAGCTTTGTGTCCACTATCCCCAACTTGGCCGCAAACAGCACCACGGTACCAGAATCCTTTCATCTCTCTACAGAGAAGCTAATCCTTTTTGTCAAAACATATTATGCAAACCTCAAAATATCCATTTATTGAAAAGGACGAACTGCCCAGAAAGTGGCGAGTTTCTGACCTTCTGCTCCTGACAGCCTTGATCTCTGAGCAAATTCTAAGAAATGGCTTTGCGAAAACAGCTCCTTTCCTCCGTGACACTGGAGGGCTTCGCTTCCCGCGAGCTTTTGCTAAGAAATATAACAAACAGAGGAGCCCAGAGCACAGGCGTGCGTCTCTTCCCTTGGACCGCACTTCTGAGAGCCCTGCCTGGACCTAGGACAACAACAGCAGACTGCCGCCCTTCAGCCACGGGGATCAGGACAGGGAGTGCTACACCTCTCTTGAAGGCTCTTCTCCAAAAGAAGCCCTCTGGTCAGGATGACATCCATCAAAAATATTGGACAGAAAACAAAACAAAAAAAATTGACTTTCATGGAGGGACTAATACAGCAAACAAAAAAGCCACCCGCAGCTTTCTGTCTAGGGGGATATGGAACAAAATGGATGTTGTCCCAGTTAAACAGGACAAATTTATGATCCTAACAGCTAATGAGGAAAAAGCCATGGAGTTAGAAGAGAAGCCTACCTGAAGAACAAAGCTAGAGGCAATTAAGAGCATCGCTCATCCCGCTTCCCAGCTTTGAGTCTAGCTATGTCGAGTCCTGCCTATCTCCAACAGATATTTATGTAAACTGGCAGGGATTTTACAGGTTCCTTGTGTAGTCTGCTCAGGTGCCCAATAACACTTTACAATGTTTTTTCAAATACATAACCCAAGTATTTGCTGCAAATAAAAATTGTCCTATTGCTGGGGACACACAATAATTAACATCCTCTTTCAAGCAACTTTTCATATACTGAAAACTGTTACTATGTTCCCTCTCCATTTTCTCATCCCAGACTTAACAAAACCAATTATTTGAAGAACTCTGCACTGACCATGTCTTCTATTCCTATTATTCTCCAATGGTATCTAATGCACCCCCCACCCAACCCTGCCAGGACCAAAAGCATCTGATGGATCATCTAGTCGACTTACCCTCCTGGACTATCTGACAATGAATGATGAGAAGTTCACTCCTCAATTTGCTTTCTCAGTCTGAAAGCTCCCTGCGTGCTTGCATTTAATTGTCCACACAGGCACAGAACTACATGGCCAGGGTTACCAGGATGGTGAGGACTGGGAGTCCCAGCCTCAGCATCTGAACAGTCTCCCAGGTATGGGAGTCCTGCTTCTGCTCAGCCCAGAGAAGGGTCAGCCTATGTGTTCCACGTGGGCTACAATGAGTGAGATCCTCCTGATTAAGCCAAGATACTGTGCAAACAGGACCAGAAATAGCATGCAGGCAGTGAGGCCACACGTGGAGTCCAACTCCTGCCCGGTGAGGGCTCAGATGATGCCCTGACAGCATTTCCTGACAGGTGTTTGCATTTTGCAATATATCATCCCATTAAAAAAAAGGGCCAAAAACGCACTACAGAGAATCAAAATCTGTCTTCCCTGCTATCCATCAGACCAACTATTCTCTCTAAAAATGAAACTTATATTAGTTTGGCTTGATTTGTTCCTGACAAACCCATGCTGGCCCATGCTTTTTAGTTCCTTCATTTTCCTGTGGGCATTTATGATCATTATCCAATCGTTTATTCCAGGTTCATTCCTATGATTCATAAAACAACCTGAATTAAGGGTTACTCCTTTTATGTTCTTTCTAAAAACAGGCACTATCTTTACACTTCCTTAGATGTTCTTTACTTCACCTGACTGTTCTTAATGACAGTCTTTCAAGGTTCACAAATTGCATATCCATTTCCTAAGCCAAATACAGCAGCTGCAAGAAGGTCCTGTTGATTTTAATTTACCTTGGAAATTTAAACATTCTTTAATATTCTCTGTGCTTTCCCTGTGCTTTCTTCTCCTCCTCCAGCTTTGATTTAGAGATTGTATTTATCGGCCTCTCCTCATAGCTAATACTTTTGTGAAGACTGAAAGAGACATAACTGAACAGATCAAACTTGTACAAAGCAAACATGTACAACAAGATCCATGCCTACAAAACTCTTTTCAGCTACCAGAACAGAAGAACAAAGTCCCAAAACATGTCTGGAGGTCCCTAATTTGCCTCTCCTAGCATGGTTTCCACAAGTGCTTTCTCACAAACCCTGTCACTCTGTAAGGCAAGAGAAAAGAGGTGCAAAGTCTTTCTAAAACGTTGACTGAGAGGTTTTGCTTCTGTTCACAACAGGAAGAGGGGACCAGGAAAAGCCACACAGGAAGCATTAGAAGTGGAAAATAAGTGTGATGTTTCCCGTGTTAAACCATGCTTTTGTGTCTTCTAAATATTTATATTTTGGACCGCCCCACTACTAAAACCTGGGATTGAGAGTTCAGCCTTCGGACCAGAAGTTCAACCAAAGTGTGAAATGTGCTGTGCCTACCTAGTCTTCCCTAGGACCACATAAAAAGTTGATCCCACTGGGAACTTTGTCTTTGGTGGAGACAAGGCAGCAGTGAGGGCGAGGGCTCCGCATTATGGAAACTACATAAAAGCTGCCAACAGAGCCCATCTCTGCCCTGACGGTTGAATCCACCTCTTTCTATCCTGCTCCTTCTTCTGAGATTGCAACAAACAACCCAGGGCTCCCAGCATCTACATGGCTGAATTTGATCTTAGGCAGCACTGGATGACAAAATACCTTTCTCCCTTACATCCTGTGCCCGAGGTCCTCACAAGGTGCAACACAAGCCCTGCTTAAGTGCTTTGGTACAAACTCCTGTACCAGGAAAGTCACCTCTGCCCCGACACCCAACAGCATCTACCACTGTTGGTCCACCGTGGATGCCCCAGCAGCCCACCAGCAGCAAGCAGCAGACAAAATCCAGTGACGACACTATTTAGGGCTCATTCCCCTTGGCTATCAATACATAACCTATTTACCGACCTTTCACTTTAGGAAGGGAAATGCCAGGGAGGTTATTAACGGTAGATCTACCACCATTAATATTTTAAGGAGCTGCAACACAAGGGTGTGAACACAACTGAACTGGATCGGTAAAACTTTGTATTTGTTCTGGTTCTTAAAAACTAAATAACAAATATTCATTTGAATGAGAATACCAAAACTTGAAAGAGTAGCAACCCCTCCTTCCCCCCACCAGATTCCCTAGAATTTGGGGAGGTAAGAAACTGGGTTTTGCCTGCAAAAACTCGACAGATTCATTCTTATCCCTACGGAGGAGGTTAAATACGGACCAGGCAGCTGAAGTCTCTTCCTTTCATTTTCCCTGCCCCCAGCATGAACAAAACCTGCCCAGAGGCCCTAGTAGGATGTCCACCATAAAAAAAAATAATCCCTGCTGCGTTGTCATAATGGAATTTAGGATCACAGACTTCCTCTTCCTCCCTACAGGAAGCAGCTGAAGTTGGGAGAGAGAGACCCGAATCCTCTTCCATATTCAGCGATACTGACAAAGGAAGGACAACGTAGTCTTTACCATCCTATAGAAGGCAGTGAAAAAAATACAAAAATTAAATAAAGCTACAGAGATACCCAGACATAAACAGCTCCACACACGTACGTGGAGAATGCATCAGTCCAACAGAGCTACCTTGTTTTTTTTATTAAACTATAAGCATTATAGCACCCTTGCAGGAACAGCTTCATTAAAAGAAGGAAACTTCATCAGCACCACTGCCAAGTAGTTCTTAATTAAAAAAACAAGATTTGTATACAACATACTGTAACATAATGTGTATACTGAACTTTTTCTTGATATCTTTGAAATAAAAAATTTAAATTTTAGTGATGTTTGAATTGCAGTGACACAAAGAACATGACCCTGAGGGAAAGAAATAACCTCAAACTGAAAGTGAGATTGAGTTGGACTACAGCATGCAAATCATAAAGGCTAAAATAAGTATAAAAAGTAAATGAAAAAAAGAATTAAATGGAGATAGCAAAAAAGGAAGTTTTTTATCAATACTTTGGCATTTAACTTGATGTGAATAAAAAGAATATAATTTTTAAAAATTTATTCCATTTGTTTACATTTCTGCTCTGAAGTATGAAGAGAAAAAATGAATTATGCATCTTTTGGTACTGCCTACCTATTTATAGTCCCATAAGAAATCCTTTTATAGATTCCCTCTTTTCTCTAATTTGTTTTTCATCTATCCTTTTTGGACTACAGCATGACACAAGTATAACTAGCTATTAGTTATCAGGCAGTAAAACATGTTTGTCTTTTACAGTCACAGTACACTACATGATGAGAGACTCTAAATCATTAGTAATCCAACCATACTAGGTTGTGGGCAAATAGACATAAAGTATGCTCTGAACATAAAAGCAAACACTTTTTTTGCTGTGAGGGTGACTGAGCACCGGCGCAGGTTGCCCAGGGGAGGCTGTGGAGTCTCCATCCTTGGAGACATTAAGAAACCATCTGGACACGGTCCTGGGCAAGTGGCTCTGGGTGCTTGAGCAGGGGGCTGGACCAACGACCTCCAGAGGTCCCTTCCAACCCTGGCCAGTTTTTGACTCTGTGATACATCAGATTCAAGCTGCTCTGTAGGAAAGTGAATAAACTCTATCCTTTCCGAATTTTGGTATGCACAGAAGACATGATAGTTTGGAAGGACAGGTAATTCCCATCACTACCGATAGGTGGGAAAGGGAGAACGAGTCTCATAGGAAAGCACGTGGCAAAATCCAGCCTCCTTCACCCAGAGTGCTCACATCGATCGCTCTGGCCCTGTCCACATCTGTGGTCCATGAAGAGGGAGCCACAAGATGGAGAACCCAGGAGGGAGGGAGGCACCTGGAAGCCATGGGCTCTCTTATCACAATGCCTGCACATTGGACAAGTCTTCATGCACCTATCCGCACGGAGCTGCTGACAGGCAATGAAACGCCTGTATCCCTGTCTCCCAGAAGAGTCATTAAAAACACGGCATCCCACCTCTTCACGTATGCTGAGATATCTATCTTTGGCACAGTAAGATCAACAGGAGCTACCTGCCAAAATGCTCTGCAGAGAAAGAGGCAGCAGAGCAGGGAACTGAACTTGTGCCAACAACTCCCCAGCAAGACAGCTAACTAACCACAGCGGTGGGGTCACGGGAAGCCCTTGCTGGCAGGGCAAGGTGGTTTTTGGTTACCACAACAGACCTCTGTGATCCTTCCCCTCCCAAGCCATTCTCCTCTGCACGTTGCCCCAACCTCCTGCCAGAAATGGGAGCTGTGGAAGAATGTCCCTGAAGGCTCCAGTGGACAGTGCCCAGCCATGGGACTTCATTGTGGCTGGTGGGACAGGCAGGGTTTAGCTGGTGGTTTTAGCAACCAGAGAATACATTTCATGTACCTGACGGACATTGGCTTGTAGTAAGTTCCCCAGGTGCTCCACCAGCTCTGAAAAAGTCGGTCTCTGCTTCGGATCTCCATGCCAGCAATCCAGCATCGTTTGGTACCTAGAAGGACAAAGCCCATAGAAATATCAGCATAAAAAAACCAGCACCTATTGCTTGCTCAAGCACCTGATAGTACGGTGAGGTAAATGTGGGCAGCTGGAAGAAGAGTTTCTCACATTTCTGGTGTTGTATAGTCTGGTGCTCTCATTCTTGTTCCTTCTTTCAGTCTTCTGCAAAATTCCTCATCAATTTTCACTCCAGGGTACGGTGACGCGCCTGAAATGAGAGCAACAGTAATTTTAATGCATTAGACTCTTAAATTCTGGTATTAATTTTCAAACAAATAATTCGCTACGGCCTGGGTTAATAGGGTAATTAAGTACATTTGGATGTGCATATAATTTATATTTATGATTCCAACAGCAACTGATTGAGTAAATGAGGCACATAATCACATACTGCAATTGTACTAAGAAGTATTTCAAATCTATGTTCCTACATTTACATTTTTAAGCAAATGTATTTTATTTTGATGGAGAAAATAAACAGGACATTTTTAGAAAGTAAAAAAAATGCTAAAGAGGACCCAAGAACACTTTGACTGTGTTGTTTAAAATTTAAGATGGCTCAATACAATTAAAATGACTCACCTAACGAAAATATTTCCCACAGCAGAACTCCAAAGGACCATACATCACTCTGAATGGTATATACTCGATCAAAAATGGTTTCTGGTGCCATCCATTTTAGGGGTAGTCTGGCCTGAAAGCATTTCCATAAACAAAAAGGTGTCACAGTTCAGCAAAACACTGAGTTTCCACAAACCCCTTTAAGGTGAGAAAAAAAAAAGGAGCCCTAAGTTCATGTTAATTTTCTCTCAAACAGAGAATCTGAAACTTACATCTCCTTTCCTGACGTAATCTGGGTCTTTGTAGATGTCTCGAGCCAAGCCAAAATCACAGATTTTGACCACGTTATTGTCTGATAAGAGGATATTACGAGCAGCCAGGTCCCTGTGGATGCACTGCAAAGAGAAGTAAACAACTTCATACGCTGCCTGTCGTCAGAGCTCCGTCCACGGGGCTGATCTCTTTCACATATGTGCTCTCCTACCCTCAAAGGCCAGATAACTCTTAAAACCTTTTAAGAAAAAGAAACCTCGGCATCGACAGTTGCTGATTTTTAAGTGCTTTTTTGATGGTCACTACTGATTTGGCTCAGGGAGATTTGTGTTCCCAAGTCCAAACATACATCTGTTTATCCACTGTGCAGAGAGGGCCTTTGAAGTTAGCCAATTAATTACCCTAAGAAGCTGACACAAAACAGGTTCAGATCTGATTCCCTTTAAATTGACTTAGGTTCACTCAAATCTGTGTACTCCACTCTGTCTGAAAAAAATACCATGCTAAAACACCGATTTGATTCCACACAAACTACTCTTGACTACAGAGAGAAAAGTCCATGCTTTTACCTATGCAGAACGACACCTTAGCCAACCAACCAAAGACTTCAAAACTCAAGCCTCGATAGCTTGAAGTAAAAAAGGCAAGTTCTGAAAGCGGCTGCAGATTTGCTTCTAGCATGGACCAGAAATGAAGATCCCGGAAAGACATATTTTTACATATACACACCCACCAGGATGTAACAAATGTAGACAAATGCATGTTTTCAGAAAAGGCCCTGAAGTCTGGTCTTCAACACCTAGCTTGCGTTCTAGAGCAGTGTTTTACTCCCCGCTTCTATTTCCTTTTCCCACTTCTGAGCACTTTTTATTTCTACACAACTGGATGCAATTCCTCACTCTTGCTGGAATTTACGTCCTTTGAAATATGTACTATACATATTTAGGATCAAACCACAGCAAAGAACTCCCAGAAGGCCAAAAAGCGGGTGAGTTGCTATTGACCGCCAGAGTGGCTTCGGCAAGAGACTCCCCAAGGAGTCATCCACAAGGTTTCATAGGTGAGCACCGTTTCTCCTCACACCACCCTTCCAATCCCACCGCACAAGTTACAGGCAACCTCCTCAGAGTAAACTCCTCTACTCTAGTATAGCTCTGGTTAGCAGGGATTTGTCCCTAATTCCTTTAATCGTCCTCATAAGTCAGCTCCCCTCCTCCAACTACTTAATAATTCTTCCGTGAATCGGTGACCCAGTAATACCGATCACCAACATTCGTGTCAACAAATGCATGGGCTGTCTCACTCTGTAATATTAATGATTATGGTATGTCTTAGGGCAAAATGTTACGGATAACTGCTAGTCCAAAGATGAACATGCTGTTTCCTTCCATAGACCTACAGCAGTATTTCCTACAGTCAAATAAATAACATGCCACTCTTCCTGAGAAGCTCCTTACTTTGCGTGAAGCCAAGAACTCCATTCCCCTCGCCACCTGGAAGCTGTAACAGATGAGGTCCTCCATGGTCAAAGGGTTCTTGCAAAGGTCTTCAGGACCAGCTGCAAAGAATCAGACGACAGTCAAACATGCCCTTTGTCACTGATTTCACCCATAACTGCTCCTTTGGTAAATGCCCATCCTAACCTTACGCCACATTGAACTGGAAGAGCAATCTGAGCCCCTTTTTTTTGGCTGTATAATTATCACTAACAACAACCCATTTCACACCAAACTAGTGCTGCGTAAAATAAACTTCGAGATGATGGGTTTATACCCCAGGTCTCCTTGCTTATTTCCAGAGTATCCACCAGCGGAAAGATTTGCAAAACAATCTCAAAAGAAAAACAACCAAAACCCAGCTCACAAGTTCCTAGGTCAGGAAAAGCTTGCTGTGGCTTCAGCAGATGGATTTGGAAACCGATGAGAGGGAGGCCCCACCTAGTCCTTACAGGGGAAGAATATGCCATGGGGAGAAAGGCTTGAGTTTGGCAAAAAGCCCCGCTAATTTGGACTAGAAGAAGTTGATACCTGTAACTTCTTTTCACAGCATCAAAGTCTAACCTCATCTTCTGGTGACCTGGAGGAATAATGTACTCCAACATCCAACAAAGATACCTAGGCATTTAGTTCCCGCTGAAATACACAACTTGATGTCTTTGCTCAGCTCCTGATTTTAAGAAGAAAATTTACCAAAAACTACAACGCTGGTTGCTAAAACCCTCATCTCAAGGTCTGCTTCAGGTTTACACGCTACTCACAACATCCCAGCTCAGAGGGTCAGTGGTTACACCACAGAGGTATGAAAAGGACTAAAATGGTAGGGGTTGGAAGGGACCTCTGTGGGTCGTCTAGTCCAACCCTCCTGCCGAAGCAGGGTCACCTACAGTAGGCTGCACAGGACCTTGTCCAGGTGGGTCTGGAATATCTCCAGAGAAGGAGACTCCACAGCCTCCCTGGGCAGCCTGTTCCAGTGCTCCATCACCCTCAGAGGGAAGAAGTTCTTCCTCATGTTCAGACGGAACTTCCTCTGCTTCAGTTTGTGCCCGTTGCCCCTTGTCCTGTCGCTGGGCACTACTGAAAAGAGCTTGGCCCCATCTTCCTGACACCCACCCTTCAGATATGATTCTGTGATTCTGTGGGATGGAAATTCATGAAGTGCATGCCTGACGTCACCTATTAGGGTCACACTGAGACCACGAGATCATCCTCCCTGTCAACATACTGATGTTTTTCTTTGCATTAAATGATTTTTAGTAGGAGTCGAGGTACAGGCAGTTGAGCTATAGCCTCCCTCCTGACCAGTCTGATCCCACCGCTTGCTGAAATCAGCGGTCTTGGAAACATGTTGGCAGCACTGAGCACTTTGTGCTGTCTCTGCCAAAGGAGAACACGGCAAACACTCAGTGAAACTGCTGCAGAGGGTAGGTATATCCAGGGGAGGCCTTGAATGAATGGATAATTCAGGTTTCCTGTTCCTGACAGACCACCTGCGCAGAGGGAAGGCAAATCAACCTCTCTGTTAATAAGCAGCGAAACAGATGGTGTTTCACCATGTTTAACTTCTGGGTAAAAACTGAGGAAATTCAGTTAGCATCCTTGTGCATCCCTCTCTGCACTGCCTTCGGAGTCTGTGCTCTGTGACTTTCCCTGAAGACACTGGGACGTTAAATAGACAGATCTTCAAAAGGCAGCGCACTAGAAATGCACATTTTTCAGACAGGACATCACCCTGGATTGGGCTGAGAGGTTTGGGATGGTCAACTAGATGATCCATAGCTCAGAAACTTTGGTCATACAGGGAACACCCTGACGCAGCTTTGAGGGAGCTTTGGAAATCACTCCTGTCCCTCACCACCCACCACAAGTGACAGCTGTTCCAACACCAGGATAAGACATATCCTACCGTCCTCCTCTTCCACGTCACTCAGGGACCGCTCCTCCACAAAGCCAGAGCTTGCTGAGCTTTGGCTGCTCGTGATGCTGTCCAGCCGTTGCTTCAGGTCCGCAGAGACTTCACCAACATAGTTCTCCTTCCCCTGCCGAAACCTGGCACTTTTGGTCTAGAAATGAGAGAGGAGGTTGTGAGAAATCAGAAGCGGAAAGCATGCTAGAAGCTTCCTCAGGAGAGGCAATGATGCTCCCCACAGTCTGTCCCACGGGCACCAGTGAAGGCAGGGAAGGTAGCCCAGTGCTGGTATGATCGGCTGCTCTGCTCCAAGCCAGTTCTGGTTGGGGGACCAGGCTGGTGCGGTGACGGCACCGGCAAACCCCAACCCATGGCCATGTGGGCTCACCAAGCACCCTCTGCCACCCCACAGCACGGCTTTAGCCTGCTCCCGCATTGTCCCAGCCACCCCTCAGCAACATCTGCACATTCTACGGAATAAAAGCACATTGATGGGATGGCCTTCTCTACCTTCTGGTACCCACTGCTTGTGAAGCACGCGTGGATGCTGCCAAATCCCCTCTCCTACTCTTGAGCCTCTCTGTACTGCTATGGCTTTACCTCCCACTGCTGCAAAGACCCTTCCACTCAACCTCTACCTTTGCCAAAACCCTAACAGCCCTTAAAATCTGATTTATTTCCTTCTTCCCCTAAGCCGCCAAATGCCTCGAGGGAGGCTGCCAGCCCCGCTGGCTTCCTCCACCATGTTTATATTTTCTCCTGCTTTGGTTTGGTAACTTTTCTCCCCTGCTAGGGCTGTTTTTTTCCGTTGCTGATTCCCATCCCCATCGCTTGTGTAAGCAAGGGTCAGCACCCTTGTGAAACCCTGCCTCTTCCTTCAAGGCCTCTCAGATATTTGTTTATCCTTTTTACCTCACAAGAGGATGCACCGGGTTGCCTTTGCCAATATAAAATAGTAAACAATGACTCCAAGGATAAAGAAAAATAACCCCCTGGAGAACTGACAAGCAGTTTGAAGAAGCTCTTATCTAAACAGGGCAGCTGCAGGAAGACTGGAGCTCAGGTCTACCCAGAACCCTCTTTCCCAGCTGTGGGCAGAAAGGGCAGGGTCCCAAGCGTGATGCTCAGCGTTGAGCACCCGCACCCATGCCCTTCATCCAGCAATCTGACCCTTCGAGGGGACGGATCCTCCCAACCCTTCCCAGAAATCAGACCCCCTCGCAGAGGAGACCAGAAATGAGTTTGAAAGCGCCAATTTTTGCCAATCGCCAAACCCACTCTCCTTTCAAACCGGGGTGCAACGAAGGGCTGTTGCAATGGGACTTGGGAGGTGAAAAGCTGAATGTAAACTCATGAGATGCATCACTTACACAAAACAATTAAAGGCAAAAAAAAAAGGTATAGCCTGGTTCAGCAATGAGCCAAGGGGACAGCAGAAAGGATAATCACATGACAGAAGATACCTAAGGATATCTGATGGATATATACACTAAGCGGGGAGCGCAGTTATTTAAGGTGGTCTGGAGCCTAGCTAAGAAAGGAAAAAATTCAGGCTGATAACCAGAAAAAAACTTCCTGGCAGATACGGCCAAGTGTAGAATAATCTGCCAAGGGAAATAGTGGAAGCCCAGTTCCTTTGCACATTTTGAGCTAACAATAACAAAAGAGCTACACTGCAGGGGCCAGGGGAAAGGCTAGATGACCTCTGATGTCTTTGCCATCTCTCATTCCCATGAGAAGAACTAGATATTCAGCGTCCCCAAGGATTGCCACTATAGTCGACACTAGAAACAGAAACATTGTGTGTGGAAAAAACCCACTAAATCAAACATTCTGCTGTTAACCTCGACTCCTTACCTTGTACGGAACAAATTCACTCCTCTTGCTCCGCAGGTAAGCTGACAGATTTCCATACTTGCAATATTCCACGATCACCATGAGCGGGCCTGTATGACACATACAGCAAGTCCTTAGAACGGCCATTTATATCCTACCTTATCTCACAGCACAATTTGTGGCTAGAAATACACACGTTTCAAAAAACATTCTACTACCCAGAGGTTTTTAAAAATACCAGTAATAAAAAAAATAAATCTAATCAAAGCAGGGAAATTATTCCTTTTCTGCTGCACAAGGAAGGAAGAAAGAGAAAGCACATACTTCTGAACACCACAAGCCTAATTTCATATGTGAAAATGTATAGTGCTGAGCTTATACTTAAAATGCTGATAACTGCCTATGCTAATTGACATTGTAAGGATGCGGCACAGGTATTGGAATGAACTGCAGTGCAATTAACCACTCATCTCCAATAAAGTACACACATGGTTATCCATGCATTTTTGTGTTGGCAGTTGAAGTCCTAAAAACTTTGAACAGGAATCTCAGATTCAGACACAGATTCTTAATATACAGTCCAAATCTGATATTTCATGCTCAAATTACTTCATATAGGCATATGCTACAATGATAAATTTCCATCCTAGGTTCCAGATACTGCCTGTGTCTATTTTATTATGGAATAAACAAAGAAAGAAATATTTATGGATTATGTTTCCTTCAACTACTGCACTTCTGTCATGGAACTTTACAAATTAAATTCTGATCCCACAGTAAGCCAACAAGTCAGCTTCCCTGAAAAATTATTACTGAGTTACTTTTACACTGAATTTCTTCCAAATTAGCATGGAGTGCTGGATTTCTTAAATGAAACATCTGTCCCCAATTATAAATTAAAATAGGTTCGTCCACGCAGAGCTGGACTCCAAACTGCACTCTCCCCTCCTACACACACGCAGAGGCACCCACAGCCCATGCAAAGCCAGGGAGGGAAGTCACAGCTCGCAGCTGCACTGTAGCCAGTGACAAGGATAAGACCAACTTGTTAAATCTGGTGCTAGACTTGGACTCAAAGTCCGATACAGACAGGGTGTCCGCTGGAAGAGTGGATCTGAGGTGTGGAAAAGCAATGGTAGGACAGCTAAGGAATGGAGCTGAACGCAGAACTCGGGGCTTCTGGGTCCTTATTCCACCTCTGGACCTACCCACACCTATCAGAATTTCTGTTTTAAAGAAGAAAACAATGTCTTCCAGACCTTAATTTTGACACTTAATTTACTGTGCAGCAGAAATGGCAGAAACAGGGTTTTCATTAGCACCTTTCCACCCACTGAGAAGTTACTCACCTCCTGGCTTCGTGCAGGCTCCAAGTAAGTTGACAACGTTGAGATGATGGCCAATATGGATGAGGATCTTCAGCTCGGACATAAGCGCCCTGTGCTCACTATGGGTTGCACCCTCTGCAGAGGTAAAACAACACAGATCAGGAGCGCATGCACAGAAAGGCTTTCCCCTCCTCTGTGCTCCGTAATTTTTCCAGCCCATCTAGTGAGAAGTCTTGTTCTTCGGTAGCCTGGGTCAGTTATGCTGCAGGGCAGTGAGGAAAGCCAGGCATATGCATGAGTGGGTTGGTTCTCCTCTGCCTTTAAACATCTTCCAAAGTTTGCCAAGGGCAGCACGTCAGAACCGAGACATAAACAATCCAGATGATTAGCAAACACCTTTTTTTCCTACAGACCTTCCGAGCAGTTTGTACTCTTGCTGTTTGACCCTCCCAGCCTTAGAAACATTGTCCCATAGCCATCGCTGGGGTTCATGCTAAGGGTCCAACGGGTCCATGGACTGGGGGAGATCAGCCCAGGGTCAAATACGCCTGACCCCACAGCCTCATCAAAAGCCTGGAGACGTGGCTGGTGTCCTCATCCCGCAGGGATAGAAGGGGACGAGGAAAGAGCTGAAGAAGTAAGGAGAGAGGGGCGGAGGAGGCAGCTCTCTGCATGCTGCCTGAGCACTGGGAAGCCGGAGGGACAGCGCTTTCTGATTTTTTATCATCAAGCTGCAAGCTCATCCCACTGCAACGAGTCTGCTGCAGGTCTTGCCTGTGCTTGTGACTGCTCACACTGCACCGTCAGAAGTCCCCCGGCTTTCCCACCCTTCCTCCAGTACACGACAGTGGGGTACAGCCCCTGGCTGCCGGGAGCCCCATTTTGCTGCCCCACCTACGTCCTCCTCAGGAACAATGTGTCTGGGAACTGCAGCTTTCAACTTCGCTGTGGTGAACACAAAACCCTATAATATGATTTAAAGTGAGGAGAAAGCTGTTCCAGACTATAACTCATTTCGGAGTGTGCCTAAGCCACTGTCTGAGAGTTGCAGAAAGCTACCAGGCTGCATAAGGCAAAAACAGACACGCACAAATTGCTTGCAGGAGGAAATTAATATTATGAACCTGAGTAGATCTATAAAACAACGGCTAAGAAACCACAGTTTGTTAATTTATAATATTTTTTATAATAACCGCTCAAATTATCGATGAGGTAAAGGCATGTGCTTTCCCTAATCATTGCTGCATGACACCAACCGCTCAGCTAAACTTGTATGCACCACCAGTAAAATCATTTTGATTATTTTCCATCCACCAGCTATAGGATCGGCAGTTATCCCTATATTGTGCATTCAAGGGGAAGTTTTAGTCACCATTTTTACCTTTAAGCATCTTGACTGCCACCGTTTTGCAGGTAGCCGTTTTGTCGATCCCGAAGGCGTCTGCTTCTATGACCTGGCCAAAAGCTCCACGCCCCAGAGGTTTACCTTGAAGGGAGAAGATGAACAGACTCGGATTTATTCACCTGGCACAGTGGGCAAAAGGTGCCAAACAAACAGCAAATGTAAACTGGATTTATACATCAGAAATCAGCAGAGGGCTGACAACGGGGAGAGGATGCAGTATATCCCACGGGACCACAGAGCCCACCCGGGGGTCCTGCGTCAGGAGCAGGGTCTGAACCCCCCACCCCGGCACCAGGCTGGCTGCAGCATCACGGAAGGGCGGTTGCGGCGAAGACGCACCCAGTTTCAGCCGGTCTCTGGGGAACTCCCACTTGCTGGCATCATACGGGAGCCGTTCGCAGTGCTCGTCTATAGGGACTTCATCGGGATCCATGATGATGGACAAGTAGCCAGTCTTCATGTCCCCTCCATTGGCCTGGAAAATGGCATTGGTTGTAGTTGCACAGATTTTTTTGCTGGTGACATGCAGGCAAAGTGCCATTTTCTCACTTTGTTTCTCCAGTTCCCAGAAATGCCAGACAGGCTACCAATTAACTCCA